TCTTAGTAGGACTCTTTACTAGAGCTGAGCTGTGCAGGCTGAGGGGAAGGCAAGGGCAAGGTCTAGTCCAGAGAGGTCAGGAGAGCCTGACTAGACTTTCGTCAAGGATACAGTCTTTTTGGAGATTATTTTGCTATAGGGCGTGTGCACTCACCAGACAGACAGAGAGAGACAGAAAGACAGAAAGTGAGAAATCACCCCCCAGGGGAGATGGCCACGCTGCAATCCCTTCTCCTCCTTTCTCCTCTCAGGATCCTGGGCACACACGCACACGCGTCCGGCGTGAGTTTTAAGCCGCCAGGTCCGGGACTCAAACTGCGGTCGACTACATGGGAGTCCAGCGACATGGCCATTACGCTAACTCCTGGTCCCAAGGATACAGTCTTTAGTACAGAGTCATGAACAACAGTCTGATAAGGAAGAAAGCGAAGAGAGTTTGCATACTATTGCCACCTTTGACTTGGTGATAATATAAATGTAAATCCTAACTTGAGAAAGGTCAAAGCCCTTTTGGCATCAGATTTTGATCTAACTATACAACTGAGACAGAGTATATGTGCTTTTCTGTTAACATGTGTATCCAGTGGTATTACAAGATGCCTGCAAAACTGAGATGTGATAGGAAAATATCCAAAATTTCTTTTTTTTTTTCTTTTTAAAAATTTTGCCAGAGGGCTCATGAGGTTACCAGAGACAGACATAGAGGGAAAAAGAGAAAGCACCTCTCACATACTGGGGACAGTCACCACAATCCTTTCTCCTCCATCTTTCCCTCCTTTCCAGATTTTGGGAACACGCACACACTGTGTTTCTCAAGTCACCAGGTCCCGGATTTGATCCTTGCAGTCAGCCATGTGAGATCCAGCTGCCTTAGCCATCACACCACAGGCTGGTCCTGAGCTTTCTACCAATGACAAAGACACAGGTAGTACCCACACTATAGAGGTTTGTTGCCTGCATTCAAATGGGAGAAGCAGCTACATTTCAGTCCGAATTTAGTGAAAACAAAGATCTAATTATTTTTCCCAGCTAAGTTTATAAAGCCTTCTGAATTCTGTGCACATATTTCCAGAATGTCTGTTAAAAATCTTCCATGTGGGCCAGCAGGTGATATGGTGGTTAAGATGCTGGATTCCCACATGGCTGACCAGGCTTTGAGTCTCAGATCTGGCAGCTTGAACATGACAACAAACAGATAAATAAATAAATAAAAATTTTAAAGTTCTTAAGAGGCCTTCCCTCAGCAGCTAACATAAAATAGCTCCCTTCCCCCCATTCTACCATCACTCTATCATTTATTTTATGAATCAGTATTTAGTATAGTTAATATTTATTTTACACATTAGTATTTAGTGTATATTCAAGAAATAATGGTTGAAAGAACAGCACTAATCATTACTTGAAATTCGCTATTTACTTCCTTTTCAACATTTTTTTATATTTATTATGTTCCCTTTTGCATCTGACTACAATGGACTTTTTCTGTTTGGTTCAAAGCTGTGACCCTTAATATCTAGCACATTTAAGGCCTTGTAACCTTAGAAAGAATAAAAAATAGGCATACAAATAATTAAACGCAAAATAAACTATTATTCCATAGATGATAGCTTTTTGCCCTGTTTTATTTTAGAAGGAACGAAGGGAGAACAATGCACTTTAAATACTTCTAAAACTATGAAATAACTAGCCTTATTATAATTCTTCAGCATACGGTTGAGCTACTTAGAGACAAAATTATAACTTCATTCCCTGCTCCTCAGACAACACTTGGAGCATATGTGCCGGAAAAAAAGGTGAAGAAT